TAAAAAGGGCGAAAGTGTATTTTTCTAGTTTATCAATAAAATAAGCCGGCCTGTCATAGGGAACCCGAAAGGGGCGTCGTAAAGGGACTAATACTCCCTTTGCACGTAACCAACTCCCTTACCCAACTGTGGTTCTAATGACCAAAGTTGGTTTTCGAAAACCAACGCCTTTCAAAACCCCTTTTCCGATGTTTCCGGTAAAAACATCGGTGGCGACTCCATAGAACCCAAATTAAATAAGTCCTTGGGTTAGCCCGGTTATCGGACAACCCAGGGATACTTTCGAAAACCTCGCCCCTAGGTTAGCCCGGTTATCGGACAACCTAAAGGCGTTGTAACCACCAATAAAAAACGCGAAAATAAAAAGAGGGTCGAAAAAACCATCGCGTCGCTCTGACCACGCCCCCATTTTCGGGGAGGCGACGACACATACAATTTTCGTTTCTAAGGTTTCCTTTTCCTCTAAACATGCAATTTTCGTTTTTAAGGACTCTACCTCCTTTTCGGATCTACTTAAACTCTTTTTCACAACTTTGTATTCATTTTTCAAGTCCTTAAAGGCATTAAACAATTCATTATATGCATTTTGTAATTCATCAAAATCATTTTCATCATCACTTGAGGATGAGTCGGAATCACTAACCTCAAAGTCAGAAGATATATTGTCTTTTGCCAACAAGCAAATGTTAGCTTCTATTTCCAGATCACTTGACTCCGAAATCGAGTGGCTATCATCGGTTCCTTCATAAGTTACTCTTAGTTTATCCCACATTTCTTGAACACTCTTACAAACTAATATCCTGTAAAACTCGTCAAGGGTTAAAGCAGATGAAATTATATTTCTAGCCCTAACGTCAAATTGTGCTTTTCTGTTTTCTTCTGCAGTCCATTTAGAAAAAGGTTTAAGAACGTCATTACCGTTCTCAGTAATTTTAGGAACAAATGGACCGTTTAAAATAGCATCCCAAACGCCTCTATCAACAGACTTTAAAAATATTTGCATACGTACCTTCCAGAAAGGATAATTTTGACCCGCAAAAAGTGGGGGTCTGTTGATAGACGCACCATCGGCCAAAGTTTGATTTTGTCCGGCCATTTTCGAAAATTTGAATGACTATCAAAGCAAGCTCTGATACCACTTGTTAGAATCGCGCAGCGGAATGTTCGCGTGGTCGGACAAAAACCAAGAGGGGGGTGAATTGGTTTCTTAATAAAAATTAGGTTTTCAAAATTTTCCCCAAATTTTACCGATTAAAATCTGTGTAAATGTAAATAGAGAAAGGGATAGAGTCTTACACAGGAGATTTATACTGGTTCGGATCAAAAGACCCTACGTCCAGTTGCTAATCACTCAAACAGAGGATTAACGCTATCACTATGATCAAAGTTGTTACAAACAAATTACAATGAAAAGATAAAGATAAGAAAACACCTCTCTTGAAATCCACAAGAGATGATGAACAGCTTTCCCTAGAGACGGCACAACACACAATCCACTAAGAACTCCACTTAGTGATTCTTATCGCTTCTAGCCCACACCAGCTTCCAAAAGCCCCCTTTCCTTGCAACAAACAGTTCTCTGGCACTCACAGCACTTAACTTTTGTATGGAAAAGGTTGTTCTACTCTTCTGAGTGCCATAGAAGAGTTTAAGTAGAGAAATTAGGGTTTAGGAATTAGGGATTTCGAAACTAGGGTTCTTGGGAATAGGGTTTTCAAAAATAGGTTTGATTTGAAGTTAAAACTCAAAATCTAACTGGTTTAATCGATTAAAAGAAGTGTTAATTGATTAAACCAGAGCCAAAAATCAACAGAACCCAAATCTCTCTGTTTTAATCGATTAAAAGGAGTTTTAATCGATTAAAACGCCTGATAATCGATTAAAATTTGGTTTAATCGATTAAACCAGTGAGTTGTTACAGAAAATGATTTTTCTCACTGTTTTAATCGATTATTTCTCTATTTAATCGATTAAAGCTGAGCCTGGATGATAAACTTGAGCTTTTTGAAGCTTCTAAGGTTCAGACTATGTACCGGCTATCTCAAACACTAAAATTACAGACTCAATCTAATTAAAACAGAGTTATTACACTACAAAACAAGTCTTCAACTCTCTAAGTTCTTGAGTTCTTGAATCATCATCAAAATCAACAATCTTCATGTCCATCAAGTGCAACATCAAGTCCTTGAATGTTCAACACAACAAGCTAGATGACTATTAGAAAAAGCCCAAGATCAAGAATCCCCAACGATTAACAAGTTGGATGGCTATGGAAAAAGCTAAAACCAAGAATCCCTAGCAATCGACAAGCTGGATGGCTATTGGAAAAGCCAAAAATAAAAATTCCCGGCATACCGGAAGACTACATCACAAAAATAAAAAACAATTTCAAACAAAAATCATTCCCCATGGAGTCTACGCATGAACAAAATCAGTCGCTACCACAACAGTCCTACAAAGTGGACTATCACATCAGACGGGGGTTCGTACTCACCAAACTAGATGAGGGTGTGTACTCATCCAGTCTTACAAAGTGGGCTACAAATTCTCCAAAACCAGGTGAGGGTTCGTATTCGTCAAACCAGATGGGGGTGCATACTCATCCGGTCCTACGAAGTGGGCTGAACACCAAACCAGATGGGGGTTCGTACTCATCAACCAAGGGGTCAGCTACCGCATCAAGGGAGCATCCTGAGGTTACAACAACCAGATAGGGGGTTTATACCCATTAACCACACATTCATCATCCAGAGGATTAGCGACCACATCAAAGGAGCATTTGAAGGATAGCCGAGCAAGAGGGTCAACTCCTTCACCTGCCAACCAATCTCGCAGGCATATTGAGCCAATAGTCGGTCAGTCAAGTGAAGGGGGAGGGGCAATTGTAGACCCCAAATCTTACCCGGCCTTACAATAAAGACCAGAAAATCCTCCGTTCAAAGATGGACAAGGCTTCTTTAGGCCCCTAGTCATGTTCACTAGGCTCCATGTAAAGATAGGAGGGTTTTCTGTATAGAAAAAATAGGAAAAAATAGGAAAAACTAAGAGGAGACCCGAGATAGCCGACCCGTTTGGCCAGACGGCCGTCTCGCCTATCAAATGCCTAGATGATCGTCTCAGTTTACTTGGCACGAATTCCTATAAATAGGAGCCTCCCCCTCCCTCATTTCACACACCATTAACTCCTACCTCTCTCTAGGAAGCCTTTTTGGCACTTCAGAGTGACTCTGAGCATTTTTTTAAGGGTCGAGTGAGCTTTCCGATTTCTGTTAAGGTAGAAATCGGTTAAGGAGGTCTCCTTTTGAGACATCCGGCCCTCGATAGGGTGATACTTTTATTTTTTATAGAGGGAGGAGTGTCTCTGTAGAGTGCAGGGACTGCCAAAAAACATTCTCAAGTTCAACATTTATGAAAGCTTGCTTTGGAGGTTCTTCTTCATATCTCTTCTCTTTTACTGTTTTCTTTTACTACTTTCCTTGCATGCATTAGATACTAGGGCCATGTAAATATTTAACTTTCCGCAAAGTAGATAAATAAAAAGGGTAGAAGCATAATTTATCTTAGTCTTTATTTTATGAATTAGTCCATCATAGGGAACCCGAAAGGGGTGTTGTGGGGGTGCTAATACCTTTCCCACGCGTAACTAACTCCCTTACCCAACTCTGGTTATAATAGCAAAAGTTGGTTTTTGCTTAAAACCAATGCCTTCTTTTTCCTTTTCCAATGTTTTCGGTTAAAATATTGGTGGCGACTCTAGAACCCTTTATGAAAACCTCATTCTTAGAGTAGTTCGGTTATCGGACATCCTAAGAGTGATGCCCACATTTTCAAAACAAATGCGAGTCATCAAAACCATCGTGTCGCTCCGACCACTTTTGACGACGGCGACAATCATTGGGGATTTTTTTATTTTGGGCTTTTACAATAGTTGTCCAACTTGTTTGATTACTGGGGATTCTTGATAAATGCCTCTTAGGTAGGCAGGAATCCACTAGGGATTTGTTGATTCTGATAATGATGCCTTTGAGTAGGCAGATACTTCATCTGAAGTGAAGACTCTCTTGGTTGCATTTCTTTGCCTCTTAATAGGCTGATATTCCCTTTGGGGATGTTGGCTCTTGCTTGCTAGGTCTTCCCTATGCGTAGGCAAACGACTCTCTGAGGATGTGACTTTGAAGATTGTCTTTACAATAGGCTCACTGAGGATATGCTTTTCTTTTTGGTGATCTACGGGGGAATTTTGTTTCCCTAGGGATTTGATTTTGGTTGCCCTTTGGGGGATGGAATTTTGGCTCCTTGTTTGATGTTGATGTGAGCTGGCTTTGTGAAGTTGTTATTCCACTAGGGGAAATGGAATTTCCGATTCCATGTTTTCTTTTTTACTTTTGAGGTGATCACCTTAAGGATTTTATTGGCCTTTTTCTATAGTGGCCCTTTCTCTTTTTGGACATCCGTTGGGGATGAAAGATTTTCTTTTCTTCTTTTTTCATTGGAGCGGAGGTTTGACTCCTTAATGGTTGGTGATAGGCTTTTGTGTAGCCTTTATTCTCCTTTGTTGAATGTAGTGGAGAATGGGTGGGGATGCTTGCTGACTCATGTGGCGGCGATGCTGAGCCTTGTGGTAATATTTTTTTTCTTCCCTCTGGAATAGGCAAAGATCCACTTGGGGATGATCTAGCCTTTTTGTCAGTTTTTCTTTTAATGATGCCCTCTATTTCTTGGAGCTTTGGGTTCTAGAAGCTCTTATTTTGCTTCAAATTGCTAGATTACCTAAAAATTAGGATTTTTATTTAATTTCACCTTTTTCCGCGATTTATTTCTTTTTTCTCGCGATTTGAAATTTGGCTTTTTCAGGATAACGCGTGTGCCTTTTTACTTTTTAGTTTCTTTTATGCACGTGAGCTTTTCTGATAGAGAGGAAAGGCAACTGAGGTGAATTACCTTTATTGGATGCTGAGTATAGCTAACCAGACAAAGCAATAATAACTAAAGCCCTAGAATCATGTACTAAGGGCAAACACATCAAGCAAGCTCAATTCTTTGCATCTGAGTTGGATGACTAGCTCCTCAAATCCCATTATGACTATTGAGGTAAAAATCAAACTCCTCAAGGATAGCCAATGGATGTGTCTACAATTGTCCCTAGCATTACTTTTGCTTCTATCCATTTGATCACGACCTTTTGTGTTCAAACAGGAACAACCGCATATGGTGTCTTTCCTGGACCATCACAAAGATAATTAGGGTAAATACCCCACCTTTGGCGCATTATGATTGTTGAATCAGCATTAGACACTTGGCCTTCTTCATATGATGATGTGCTCGAAAATTAGCCAAGTGCATGTCGTATGCAGCGGTATGCTTCTTGGAAGATGTGGTATAACTCTGCCTTGTATGTATCCTTTTGATACTTGATCCCTTCCATAGGAAAGTAAGGACTTTGTGGTTGAACTCGGGCGTAGGATGTTGAGCATACTGCCGAAGTTTAATCTGATGTTGTTCTAGAAGCAAAGTAGGAGCTTGAAAAGTAGGGCCCACACTACTAGGTATTTCAGGGCGCTTGCTTCTTGATGACTTCCCTTCATCCATTTTTATTCAAACACACTCAAGTATGCTAGGGGAAGGGGAAGAGGAAGAGAGAATGCGAAAATAGGATGAAATGATTTTTTATTTATTTTTTATTTATTTATATATATATATATATATATTATTTTTATTTTAACAGAGTCGTTTTGTGCGACTATTGTGTGTGGATGCCCTAAATGCAATCTATTCTTTTATTTGATGCATCTTAGAAAAGTGACCAGCATCCTCCTGTTGGACTTTTCATGATCATGTTGATTGACTCCTCTTTTATTCATATTTTTTGTTTAGCCCTATCTTTTTCCTAGACTGTCCTTTTGGGGTTTTGATCTAGTGGGCTGCCTTAATTTTTTGCCTACGATATCTTAGCAGGTTTTTTCCTTTTTCATGAATGCCTTAACTTTTTTCTAGACCGCCCTTTGCGGGTTGTCGATCTAGCACGCTGCGCTAATTTTTGCCTAAGAATCTCCTAGCAGGCATTTTTTTTTATTTTCATTTTTTATTTTTAATGCTTCCTTGTTTATGATACATGAGATTATCTTGACAAAATGACTTCGTGCATATTTATGATTCATCAATATAGAGGCAATTTCATAAACTGGTCAAGAGAAAAGAAATGAAAGACAATTTTATTGATATGCATGAGCAAAAGGTTTATTATTTTCACAGAAGGATTACAAATGGAATTTAGAAGAATGGCCGGCCAAGGTTGGCTACATTGCGTAGGTTTTAACGATCATGTCTATGATATCTGCCCCCCTAGTTCTCCTAGTTGCTTAAGTTCAGATGCTCGAGCCTGGAGTGAAGACTATGCAAAACTGTCTGCCTTTGGAAGATGTTACCTTAGCCGCCTTTTGGTTTTTTACTAAGGCAATCATTGCTCTTAGGGGATTTTTATTTTTTCTTTCTGATGAGTCATTATATTCTCATATTGTTTTCCCTTTCTGAACTTATTTTAATTAGTGTTTTGGGCTTAACTTTCTGTTATTAGTGAATTTTTGTTAATTGGGCTTCATTGGGCCAATAATTTAGATTTTAATCAATTTGAATTTATTTTATCTAATTTTTGCTCATTATTATTTTCAGGATAGTTTAAAGAAATTTTTGGCCTAAAAGATTGGGCCAGATGCCATATTACAGTTTAAAGCAATTTTGGGCTTGGAAAATTGGGTCAATTATCATGTTTTATTCTATATGGGTACTAACATTAGTTTACTGTTTTATTTATCATCTTTTCTACCCAGCTCCAAAAATCATGATTCTAGAAGAATTACAAACTAGACACATTCATCTTTCCAAAGGATTCAAAATCATTCAATTCGGAGCTAAATTGGATTTTAAATAAATTATCCAAAATCGGCTAAGCGCACTAGGTCGGCCCAATGGACATCCTTCAGTAATTTAAGTCTCCTAAATTCATTAGACCTCCGAAAATAGTAGAAATGGTATCGTTTTAAAGATAACTCAAAAGGATTTCAAAAGAGACTAGAATCTCTTAATTTGGATAAGTATTGAAAATACTGCATGTGTTTGAAGTTCATAGACATGCATTGAAACCAACTTATGATGTGTTTTGTGGACCAATTGGGCCCAAACCTAGATTAAGATTAAGGTTATGGTTATTTATATAAGTGAGATGTAGGGTTGAGAGGGGAGGACACCACGCAGCAGCCACGCAGCCATCTTTCATCTTCTATTTGTATTCAAGTTTGTTTAATCTTCTGTCATTATTTTAAATTCTTATTTCGATTTTAATTATGTCTCTTTTTTCTGCGTTTTCGATTTTCCATGGATAGCTAAATCTTTGTATTGATTTTCTGAGGAGAATGCAAGTAGATCTTTGAGGTTTTGTTCTTCAATTTCATTTCATTTGTTCTCTTAACTCTTCATCTTCTAATCTCAGTGTTGAATTATAATTTGTTTATGCTTAACAAAACCGAAACTAATATCACAGTTTGCTTTATTTTGTGTTAGAGATGAGATTATGTGATGTATGCAATGCTTAATTATATAAGGATAATTTGGGGTTAATCTTCGCTTAGTTGGTTAATTTCATGTTGGAATAAGGGTTAAGGAAAATTTGGGGTTAATCTTCGCTTATTTGGTTAATTTGATATTGGAATAAGGGTTAAAGCTAATTTGGGATTAATCTTGTCTTAGTTGATTAATTTTGGATTGGAATAGAATTTGGGACTTATCTTCGCTTAGTTGGTTAACTTCAAATTAATTTCGTAACCTAGGATAAGTGACACTCGCATTCGAATAAGGAAATCAATTGCTTTCTCATTATTTTATTCAAATTCTATTTTCTTTAATTTACTATTTATTATTATTATTATTATGAAAAACCCTTTTTTTTGTTGTTTAATCTGCATACTCGTGTAAGAACATTGGTTTGATCTGTAGTTCGTTGGGAGACGACCTAGGGAAGTTTCCTAGTACTACATTTATCTGTTTTAATTATTTGATCGAGTACGACATCAATCACTTTCTTTTCTTCTCTTCTTCCCCTCTTTTTTTTTTTAAAGCCTCTAGCTTTTGCCTAGGGCGTACCCTAACTAGGCGTGTGGACCCTAACTTTTGCCCAGGATGCCCTTTGTGGGTTTTTGTCCTAGCGGGTCATGAGCAATGCCTTCAAGCATAATACTTCTTCATCGTATCGGAATTTTCCGGGTGATGAAGTTCCTTTCTATCCATGTCGGTGAGGATAAGAGTTCCTCCCGAAAAAGCTTGCTTAACTACAAAGGGTCCTTCATATTCGGGGCCCATTTTTTCAACTTTATCCTTTGTGGCCGGAGGCAATTTCTTTACCGTTAAATCCCCTTGTGGTAATATGGGGTCCAATCCATTTTTCTTCAATTAAGTTCAACTAATTGTATCGGCTTTGGACCCATTCACCTTCTGTCCATTTTGCTTCCATGACAACTTGCAGGGAAAGTATTTCGACCTTCATCGAAAGTGCGACCTCCAGGCCATATAAAGAGAGAATGTAATAGCTCTAGTGGAGGTCCGTACGGAAGTTTCATAACCATGAAGGGCAAAGGGTGATATTTTGTACCGATCTTTGCAGGTTTTGACCATCTTCCGAATGATCGTCTTGACGTTCTTTATTGGTTGCCCCACTGCACCATTCATTTTAGGTCGCTAGGGAGAGGAATCATGATGTTGGATTCTAAAGTCTTAGGAGGTCATGGTAGGACCATGCACATGCATCCCCATACTCTCTTAATAGTTATACTATCCCTTCCCTGAAGTTATCATCGATTTGGGTATTAATGCTTATTTCCTTTTATCGTTTCCTTGCCCCCTGTAGACCCCTAATCTTGTCCGGCCTCATAATAAAGATCAGAAGACCTTCTATTCGAAGATGGATGAAGCCTAAGAAGCCACTAGGAGAGACTATTAGGCCCCATACTAGGATAGGAGGAATTTTTGGTCCAAAAATAAGGATTTTCGCCTTTTAAGGTCGAAAGCGCCGTCTCGGATCCGAGACCGCCGTCTCGCCTTGTGCGAATGGTGAGACCGCCGTCTCGCCACTCGCGAATGGCGAGACCGCCGTCTCAATTGGCGAGACCACCGTCTCGACCATGTCAGACGAGACGGCCTATCTCGACCTGACAGGCACGAATCCCTATAAATAGGGCCTCCATTCCCTTCATTTCCAACGGTTCTTCCTCCTTCTCTCTAGAAATCACTTAAAATTCTCTCTCTAGAACCCCTCCGAAGCATTTCCGGAGTTTCTGAGCATTTCTAAGAGTGTTTTTGAGCGTTTCGAGAGGTTTCCGGTGCTGTGTAGAGTGAAGGGCTGCCACAAAGCACCCTATTTTTTTTGCAAAGATTAATATAAAAGCTTGCTTCGGAGGTTTACTCTCTCTCTTTCTCTACTTTTACCGCTTTAATTCTAAATTGTGCAATAGAGATTAGGGTCATGTAGTCATAACTTTAAATTCCACAAAATAAAGGGTAAAAGCGTATTTTCCGGTTTATTTATTCATCCAAAGTAGCTAGCCTATCATAGGGAACCCGAAAGGGGCGTCGTAAAGGAACTAACACTTCCTTTACACGTAACTAACTCCCTTACCCAACTCTGGTTCTAATGACCAAAGTTGGTTTTTCGAAAACCAACGCCTTTTAACTCCTTTTCCGATGTTTCCGGTAAAAACGTCGGTGGCGACTCCAAAGAACCCTCCAAAACTAGCTCTTGGATTAGCCCGGTTATTGGACAATCCAAGAGCGCCCTTTCGAAAACCTCGCCCCTAGGTTCAGCCCGGTTATCGGACAACCTAAAGGCGTTGTAACCACCAATAAAAATGCGAAAATTGGAAAGTCAGAAACCATCGCGTCGCTCCGACCGCCCTCATTTTTTACGGTGGCGACAGATGGCGACTCCATTGGGGAAGCCTAGAGAGTTGATCCCATTTAGTGATGGGCCAGCTTAAAAATAAATAAACCAAGAAAATAACGCTTTTACCCTACCTTGTATTATAACATGTTTATTGCTTGGCTTTAATAACTGTTGTTTGTTTACATTTATGCAATTGTTTGAAATACAAACTGTACACAAACCCTTGCACACAAAAGCTCCCCCTATACCCGGGGGCAAGTGAGAAAACCATAGGGAGTGGGTGGCAGGTACGGTTCGCTGTAGTGATGGCCTTGTGCCCACCAGTGTGATCGGAAACCACCACTCAAGGTGATAACCTTCCTCTTTTGGCACAAAGACTGACTATGGCCTTAGTGCTAAGCATGGTTGGAAGGCTGGAGAGTGGGGACCCTATAATGGGGGCACCTTGGGGGCCTTAGCCTTAGTGAGAACAGTTAGAACCTACCTTTGCCAATGCACTTTCCTGCAGGAAAACCCTACCTCGTGATTAAAATGACTTCTCGCCTGTTTGTGGATGTTCGAATTGTGTGTGCATATGTTTGTTGCATTTGTTTGTTACATAGCATAACCAAACAACAGAAAAATCACAAAAAATATTTTTGCAATAAACACCCCTATCTCG